AGGGTTAATAAGTGTAATAAGCAATAAATGAAAGAAGTTGGACAAGGAAGGTGAAGATAAAGATAATAAACCATGGTGGTTACATAGGTTAGCTATGTGAATGACTTGATGGTTGTGAATTATATGAAATATTGCCTGTTTTGTTGTATTTTAACAAACAAATAGTAGCAACTCTCTCCGACTATCAATCAACAGTCATTAGTTGGCTGATTTCTTATAGATGTCATTGCAAAAGTGGTTTTAAAGAAGAAGATGGTAGCAGATTTATGGCTTAGTTCAAGACATTAACTGCTGTGTGTGAGGTGGCATAAGAAAATGAAACAAATATGTGGTATGAAGCAGAGTAAAGACATTCCAGGTTGGTGTTTTAGTAGTACTGTATTTACTCAATTCTAAGACAACCTTGAATTTAAGATGACCTCCTCAATAATTAGATTCCGTACAAGGAAAAATTTTAAATTGATATTACTTTTATAAATAGACGTACTGATAAAATTGTAGCAATACCAGTAACTCATAAATTCAACAATAACTTTAATGCAATGCAAACATTAATTTAACTTACATTAGGTTCTGTCCAGAACTTGAGGAGTGCTCTGCGCACTGGATCCCTCCTTACTGCTGCCCAGAGCCTCGCCGCATGTTGGGTCCCTTTCTGAGTGCTGAGTCCCTTGTCGCTGCAGCTAGATCCTTCCCCACAACATTCAGGATGCCTGAATGTCCCTTGGGGGTCCCTTCCTGCTGTATACCGTTCTGACCCCTGCTGGGTGTGTCCCCCCCGAATACTGACTGGCCCCTGCGGAGTCCTTCCCTATAAGCATGGTCAGCCCCTCCCTACAGTGTGTTGGGTGCCTGGTTTGCAGGTGCCCAGTTGCTCCCAGATACTGCCTGGTTAGTTCAGAGTTTCTTCTTGCAGCTTGCAGTGTTTCTGGCTGGAATATTCTTGGACAGGTCTGAGCTGCTGCCATGCCTGTAGATGCCAAGATGACTCAGTATGTGCTGGTTAGAAACTTCATGTGAGCAGAGATGTCGCCTGGCCAGTGCTTGCTGGGTCATTCCCAGCTGTGTGCAAGGAGCCTGGCCAGCACATGTTTAGGTGCCTCAGCACCCAACAGCTGGGCAGAAACTTGGAGCGACTCAGCACACTCTGGTTGGAAACTCTGCAGGCTGTGGAGATGATGCGTGGATGGTGCCTGCTGGGTCATACCCAGCTGCATGCAAAAGCAGCCTGGCCAGCATGTGCTGTGAGTTGCTGACAGCATAGGCTGGTAAGGCTCCTTGCTCACAGCTGAGCAATAACTAAGCAGGCAAAGCATGGGGGTCCCTCCAACACCCACCAGCCAGGCAGCAGCTTGGAGTGACCAGGTACCAGCTGGCTAGGGACCCTGCATGCTGAGGGGATGTGCCTGGCCTACATGAGCCCTGTCACCCTCTGCTGCATGGCCACATGCTAGGTGCCTTCCACGCTGCCTCCTCACATACCTCACCACCCCCTGCATATCTTCTGATTTCAGGTAAGTCATACTCAATTCTAAGATGAGGCTTGATTTTTCTCCATGTTGAATGGAGGGGTGGGGAGGCTCATTGTAGAATCAAGTAAATATGGTACTTTATTTAATCTGTTCCATGAGATGAAGAGAGACAGATTTAAATAAGATTATTCATTGTGGGAAATATTAGGCATATATTTGTCTTTGGAAGATTGGGTCCTTAAATCATAAGCTTCCCATTGTAAAGACCTTATGTAAAACCTTGACTGCAAGTAAATGACAAAACTTCTGTTGACTTCAATGGGACCAGAATTATACTTGTTATCTTTTTAATTATCTGTTAATTAAATAGCCTCCCAGCAAACTTAGCACTCCATAAATAATAATAAATTACAGTTGAAAACATTACTTTGTGGGAGCACCATTGGAAGCCCATACAATTTTTTATTTGATAATTTCATCAATAGACAAATTTACAGCAACTACTTCTTTATAAAAGAGATCATTCTTAATTCACTGACTCATCCTTTTATTGTGAATTATAGCACTGTTTTTAATTGTCTAAAATCTGCAAAACCATGAAGGAAGTAAGCAATTACAATGAGTTCCCCTTAACAGCTACTTCCACATTCCTTCTTAAATCTATATAAAATATAAAGTGATTAATAAACTCTTCCTTTATTGATGAATAGGTTTTATTTGTGTTTGATTTAATATGTTTAAAATCAAGAGAGAAAATAAAGGTAATTTATCTTAGTGCTGCATAATTTAAACATTTCCAGAAAATGTTTAAAGAGAATGAAGCTTGTACTACCTATGTATTGTAATATTTTTCTTTTTAAAATATATTTTATTGAATTTTCTTGTGGTTAAGATGATATTTTTATTTTATATTTTATAATGTGTATCTTCTTTAATATGTTTGTTTTATGGAAACATGATAATATTTTTATTTTATATTTTATAATTTGTATCTTCTTTAATATGTTTGTTTCACTTTCATATTTTAAGATTTATATCTTCATGTTGCTATGGCATTAGATAATAAAAGAAAAATTGTTGTGTGTGACTTTCATTACTTTTAGGAGCTATTTGCTAATTTTCAAACACAATTTGAAGTCCTTGTCTTTCTGTTGTGATAGATGCTCACATATCCAGGCTAGTTACAGCCACTTGGGAAGGTTAAGGGAATCATAGAAAATTAGGGTTGGAGGGGACCTCAGGAGGTCATCTAGTCCAACCCCCTGCTCAAAGCAGGCCCATGCCCAACTACAGCATCCCACCCAAGGCTTTGTTTAGCTGGGTCTTAAATGGAGGATTCTACAACCTCTCTGGTAACTTGTTCTGATGCTTTCCTACTCTCCTAGTGAGAGAATACCTCATCTAAACTTCCCTTGCTGCAACTTGAGCCCATTGCTCCTTGTTCTGTCATCTGCCACCACTGAGAACAGTCCAGCTCCATCCTCTTTGGAACTACTCTTCAGGTGGTTGAAGGCTGCTATTCAATACCTCTTCAGTCTTCTCTTCTGCAGACTAAATAAGCCCAGTTGCCTCAGTCTTTCCTCAGAAGTCATGTGTCCCAGCCACCTAACCATTTTCATTGCCCTCCACTAGAATCTCTCAAATTTGTCTATATCTTTTCAGTAGTGGGGGAAGGAGGGAGAAAACCTGATGGGCTCACTAGTGCCAAACAGAGGGGAAGAATCACTTCCCTTGACCTACTGGCAATACTCCTACTAATGGAGTCCACTGTGCTGTTAGCCTTTGGGCAACAATGGCACACATCTGACTCGCACACAGCTTATTGTACATTATCCTCGCTGGTCCTTTTCTGCAGAGCTGCTGCTTAGCCAGTCAGTCCCAAGCCTGTCGTGGTATACAGGATTCTTCTATCTTCATTGCAGGACTTTGTGCTTGTCCTTGTTGAACCTTTTGAAACTTCTTTTGGCCCAATCCTCTAATTTGTCTAGGTCACTCTGAATCCTAGTCCTACCCTCCAGTATATCTGCTACTTCCTTCCCTCAGCTTGGTGTCATCTGCGAACTTGCTGAAGGTGCACTCCATCCCACTTTTCAGGTTGTTGCTGAAGATATTGAACAAAACTGGCCTAGGGACCAACCCTTGAGGCACTCTATTTGATACTGGCTACCAGCTAGATATCAAGCCATGGATCTCTACCCATTGAGCCTGGAGATCCAGCCAGATTTCTATCCACCTTACAGTCCATTCATCCAACTGATGCTTCCTTAACTTGCTTGTAAGAATGCTGTGGGGGGCCATATCAAAAGCCTTACTAAAGTCAGGGTGTATCACATCTACTCCTTTCCCTGCATCCAGAGCCAGTCATCGTATCATAGAAGGCAATAAGGTTGGTCAGGCATGACGTACCCTTGGTGAATCCATGCTGACTGTTCCTGATCACTTTCTTTTCCTTCAAGTGCTTAAAAATGGATTCCTTGAGGACATGCTCCATGATTTTTCTGGGGACTGATGTGAGGCTGGTTGGTCTGTAGTTCCCAGGATCCCCCTTCTTCTATTTCTTAAAGATTACTACCCTATTTGACATTTTCCAATCATCCAGGACCTCCCCACAATTGCCACAAGTTTTCAAAGATAATGGCCAGTGGCTCTGCAATCGCATTCGCCAACTTCCTCAGCACCCTCCCATGCATTGCATCCAGCACCATGGACTTGTACACATTCAGCTTTTCTAAATAGTCCCAAACCTGTTCTTTCACTGCTGAGGGCTGCTTACCTTCTCCATAACTAATGCTGCCCATTACAGTAGTCTGGGAGCCGACCTTGCCTGTGAAGACTGAGGTAAAAAAGGCATTGAGTGAGCCTTTTCCTCATCATCTGTCACTAGGTTGTCTCCCCCAAACAACAGGGGACCCACACTTTCCCTTACCATCCTTGTGTTGCTAACATACTTGTAGAAACCTTGTTACCCTTCACATCCCTTGTTAGCTGCAACTTCGGTTGTGCTTTGGCCTTCCTGATCTCATTTTGCATTCCTGAGCAATATTCTTGTACTCCACCCTAGTCATTTGTCCAAGCTTCCACTTCTTGTAAGCTTCCTTTTTGTGTTTAGGCTCACCAAAGAGTTCACTGCTGAGCCAAGCTGCTCACCTGCCATATTTCCTATTCTTCCTGCAAATAGGGATGATTTGTTCCTGCACCCTCAGTGAAGTTTCTTTAAAATACAACCAACTCTCCTGGATTTCTTTCCCCCTCAGATGGGTGTCGCAGGGGATTCTACCCATCAGTTCTGTAAGGGAGTCAAAGTCTGCTTTTCTGAACTTCAGGATCCTTACTCTGTTGCTCTCATTTCCTCCTTTTGTCAGAATCCTGAACTTGATCATCCTGTGGTCACTGCTGCCCAAGTTGGCATCCACTTGTACACCCCCCACCAATTCTTTCCTGTTTGTGAGCAGCAGGTCAAGAAGATCCAAGCCCCTAGTTGGTCTCTCCAATATTTGCACCAGGTGGTTGTCTCCAATGCTCTCCAAAAACTTCCTAGATTGCCTGTGCACTGCTGTATTGCCCTCCCAGTAGATGTCAGGGTGATTGAACTCCCCCATGAGAACCAGGGCCTCTGATCTGGAAACTTCTGCTCATTTGATGAGCTTTAGTTAAAGCACCCCTGCTGCCATTTTGAAGTGCAAGGATGCTGAATATGTGAGATGCAGAGGCTGCTAAAGCATGCTAATAAGCAAGCTGCAGCAGATTCGATTACTTGAGTCTGCTCTGATGCACTGTAATTACAGTGGATGCCAAGCTTCCAGTTTCTACCTTCTTGGGAGTCTATACCTTCTTTCTTTTCTACCTCTGGCAGTCCTTCCTTCAGCATGGAATTGATGAAGTCCTTGTGGCAGAGGATACTTCAGAGCCTCGTTACCTCCATTAAATCATAGTAAAAATGGCCACCTGATCTTAGTTTGCCAATCCCCCCCCC